GGCAACTGGATTTTGATATCTGTGCAACATTGTACAGGACACATAGGAAGACATGTGATGGCACAGGATGGAGGACAAGGCTTGTTATTTGGCAATGTAGCAACAGTTGGAAAAGTTTCCTTTGACTTTTCCGGTGAACAACAATGCATTGGACACTTAGGTAAGCAAACCACGGAGCAGGACGGTGGACACGTAGCTGTTGTCTTGTATGCATTAACTGCTTGTAGCTGAGGGCAGCATTTGATAGGACATTCTGGTAGACACGTGGTAACGCAGGAAGARGGACAAGTTGATTCTGATTTGGTACTAAGCATAGTTGGACGTTGTGCATGGGGTGTAGTGATAGCTGGACAACATTTGACAGGACAAGTAGGCAGGCATGTTAGAATGCAAATCGGTAAGCATGTAGAAGTACTTGGAGTCGTTACAGTGATGATTGGGCCAGCCGTAGCAGACAATAAACCAGKGCAACACATWAYTGGACARTYCGGTTTGCAAATTTCTTTACATATTGCAGGACACGGAGCATTTGTAGTAAAGGCTAGGCYTRCARTTAACTGGCCTGGTTTGGAAGTCATGATCAYGGAGCAGCACTTAACTGGACAAAATGGTTTGCAGGTTATTGCACAGATGGTGGGACAAGTGATGGCATTCACGTTTGTACTAGGTGTGGTTGTTGRMATTACAAGATCTGTGCAGCACCKTAGTGGACAGGATGGTTCACAACTCACTTTACATCCCGGTGGACAATTAGGTTGGCTAGATGTCGTCTTGGCACAACACTTTAAAGGACAAGACGAGATRCAGTTTGTGAAGCACACTACAGGACACGATGGAGTTTTCTTTTTACAGCATTTTATAGGACAAAATGCTAAACATTTGTTAARACAAATYTTTGGACATTGAGATGYCRTTGTAGAAACACCTGTGTTGTTAGACGTTGTGAGGTATCCAGGACAACACTTAACAGGACAATCTGGGCCACAATTCTTCRCACAAGAAGGTGGGCAAGCTGACGATTTTCCTTCTGGATCAATGATAATAGTAACTGGTTTGGGGTTTTCTGCCCCGTTGCAGCACTTGGTTGAGCATGGAGGCAGACAACTTTGACTGCAAGAAGAAGGGCATCCACTTAGACTTGGATYAGKATTCACAATGATTGACACAYGTTKTGGGTTGCCAGAGCAACACCTAMKTGGGCAATCGGGGTTGCAARATTTGGAGCATGTGATTGGACATCCATGTTTGSTATGTTTGCTATGTATAAGAACTGAAATCTGTTTTGGAAGTGCGGCACAGCATTTRAYAGGACAATTCGGTCCACACTCTTTTATGCACGACGATGGGCACACATCRTCATYGGACTCAGKWCTCGCTATGGATCCGAGCTTTTGTGCCCCCGATTCTTGACAGCATCTGATTGGACAATCAGGCAAACACGTCTGGAAACAGATCGTCGGGCAGGGTCTTGGTGTTGTTGTCATCTGCGTCTCTGGAATCTTTAGGTCGATATTAAACTGCTTTGCTCCTCCTTTGCAACAACGTATAAGACAAAATGGTTGACATTTCGTAGCGCATATTGCTGGACAAGCAGCTGGGTGAGGTTTAGTTAACTTTGGTAATGTTCTTAGTGTGCAGCAGTAATCAGGACAGGTATCAGTGCAATGTCCCATGCAGGATGGCTGGCATACCGGCAGTGGAGGGAGGTTGGCAACTGGATAAGATCCTGGAGCATGAGCTAGGAATAAAAGGTAAGGCTTTGATCAATAAAAGTATCGTCAAATAAAGTCAAGCAGGTGTTAACTTCACGTTAATCAAGATAACCAACTTTATTTATTGGTTAAAAAATGAAACAGTAATAATACTACTGCTGATAAAGCAATAAACCTCAAAAGGGCATGTTGAAAAAGGTTGTAGCAATTTCAAGTCTTTCATAACACAAATTATTAAAATTTTAAGTTTATCGTCTTTTGGTGATTACTTGGTCGATATGTTCTCCTATAAATTTGATCAAGAGAGAGCCGTCAATATAATGTGGTATTTGTCGACGGTATTGTCGGCTCAGAATTGCTGAGCGCTATTGGCTGGTAGCATTTGTTTGAAGGCAAAAATAGCACTTTTTTTTTTAATGAGGCGAACTATTTTCTGACGACGTTATACAAGGGTAAGGGAAATTACGAGCTAAACATCTTTCACTCTGCTAAAGGCGAGTGAAAATATCGTACAAAATGCTTCTTTCAAACTTAGTCTTTGAAGAAATTGGACTTTTTAAGACTTACAAATTGAATGACGAAGAAATCGTAGAATCAGTTATTCCTCTTCTTAAAACAATCATTATAACCTAAGTTTTTTTAAAAAAAGCTTAAGCTTACTTCGGTTTTTTAAACTCGAAAATCAGTGCGAAACTTGCTTGCTTCAGCGAACACTTGACGAGCAAATTTTCAATGCAATAGGATGTAAAGAAGGAAGTAAAGAAAAATATATCTGTAAACAGTCCAAGCAATGAAATAATCTTAAACTTCATCTAATTTTATTATATGATAGTGGAAGTTTGATGAAAACCAAATTTCCAAAAACCCTGAGCATCCATTTTCTCGAATTTTCCAGAAACCGTTGCTAGGGAGACGACTGCATATAAGGTAGTGAGGATTGCTTCCCTTGCTTTTTTCTTTATTTTCTTTTTCTTTTTCTTTATATAATTAGCCCAGCTTTTAGTGAAGCCGAGTTCCAAGGAAAATTAATTCCGCAATGCCGGTTCATCTAACGAGAGAAACTAATGAAGAATGCTTTGTTATCGTTAACCAACATTGCGGCCATGATGTAACATGGACCAAGCTTTCCTTTCGAAATCACCATCTCTTCATCACGCAAAGAGATTCAAAAGACCAGACCATGTTCCTAAATTATTTCCGTTTTCTTGACAATACTAAGATTTCGATCTTATGGAAGTCTTTGCGTTCTTTATACTATTTTTCTTATCGTATGTGACAACAATCGAACAACATTTCACTGGACAAGAAGGAGTACACTTTGTATAACATGATGTAGGACAACTTCCAAGGGTTGGTATCGCTAAGCTTGTTCTAGCTGTCGGGTTTGTAAAGGCTGCTAGGCAGCACTTGAATTGGCAGTTTGGTTTACAGGAAATGAGGCATGGAGGGGGACAAGGGGCCACCTTGGTAGATCCAGGCA